CAGTGAATCCAACTCAGAAATATCTATTTTTTTCATACTCTGGACAGTAATGATTCTGAAGTAAAAAAAACAAAACTTGGTGCATTGTTGTACCTGCTTCACCTTTTGAACATTCCAATATAATTCACTAACACAAGAGTTGGTATGCAGATGAAGGCTATTTATTTATCATATTAATTAATAAAGAGCAAAATGAAATTTCAAGATTTAAAGACAGCATACCTAATATGCTTATTAAAACAATAGGCCAAAGACAGCATGCTTTAAAACATACTAATAGCATGATGTAAATCATTGGGCTTAAAATATGATAATTTGGTTAACTGCATAGTTTAACTAGTGAACTCCATGACTGCCACAGCATTGAATATTTTCTTAGTCCAAATTTGATAGCTGAGTAGTTATTTCACACTGAAAGACATAATTCCAAGATTTATCTTGTTAGAAATTACTGTTACAATCAATATATCTTAAAACCAGGAACATTGTTTTTAAGATACTATTGATAAACCATGGTATCTTACATTCTCCATTCTGTGTTCTTGCACTAAGAAAAGAGACATATAAATATCCACATTGGAGGGGAAGATATATTTAACTATCATTTTTAATTTGTTTTTAGTTTCCAATTTAGCTCTAGTTATGACTCACATGCTTTAAAATAATAGATAGGACACCAAACCTGTGTTTCTGTCCTCTTTTTGTGTAAGGGTAGAACAAGCTACAAAGAGGTCTTCATTTTCCAACAACTTTTCAAAATGATCCAATGATTTATGGCTATCTGAGTACAGGAGTACACACTGTTTCATTATAACAATTGAATTCCTTTGCCGAAACATCTTCAAGGAAAATAAAGTCCAGGTGCTTTTTGAAAAAACACCTTTGGGACAACCATGACTTGGATGACTGAGAATCTTCATAGACCAGGGGTGTCAAACTCACATCATGATGTATTGGGACTTTTTTCTCCTTCACTAAATCGGACAGAGGGGGCAGCATGTGATGCATCCAGCCTACTGGCCGTGAGTTTGACACCCTTGCCATAGACACTTTGCCTATATTTAAGAATGGTTCAATACATTTTGCTGCTTGAAGCAAAACATAAAATGGTGGCTTTTTATTTTAAGTGAGTTTTGCCCCATTTTACGACTTTTTGTGGCACATTTGTTAAGCAAATCATTGCAGCTGTAAAGTTAGTAACACAGTTGTTAAGTGAACCTGGTTTCCCCATTGTCTTTGCTTGTCAGAAGGTTGCAAAAGGGGATCACATGAGCCTTAGACACCACAACTGTCATAAATATGAACCAGTTATCAAGCATCCGAATGTAAATCACACGTCCATGGGGATGCTGCAACAGTCATAAATATGAAAAATGGTCAAAAGTCACTTTTTCAGTGTCATTGTAACTTCAAAGAGTCACTAATTGGATTGTTGTAAGTTGAGGTTTACCAGTATAGCACAGGGAGGCGAGACAAGAACAGTATCTGGCATATCAGCTCTCACTGTTTTCTGTATGAAATCTCTGGCTCATTTTCTTTTATAGGACTAAAGCAAATTTACTGTTCTATTTCACTGAGGAATAATAAAGCAGACTTTGAAATGTTTTGAAAATTAGCTGATGGCTTCCTAATTATCTGAACACCAGCAGGTTGTTTTACTTGAAGCAAACATTCAAGTTAATGAAGATATACAATTATGATGTATCATATGACTAAGTTATGGTATATTAAATTAAATCAGAAATTACTAAGACAGAATTAATTATTTAACATTTGATTACAGCTACAGGATGATAGTTTGCAGCATACATTAATTCAGCTCATAGAAATAGAAACATCATGATCTTTTGCTTTGTTGCCTAACAGCAAAAAATATGCAGTCTCTAGATTTGAATAAACTGGCAAATCTCACATCTTAGCAGTAACAAAAACACCTCTTGTTTTTACCCTCTAAATCAGCAGTCGCCAACCGGTGGGAAAATTTTGGTGGGCCACAGAGAAATCTCACCCCCAGAGCACCCCCACAAAGCAATTAATCCAGGCTGTGCAGAAACACAAGGCTGCTCAGCCCACATGGCCCACAGGAATCCTCCCCTCCCACTCATTCCTTACCCTGCAAACTTGTCTGCTAAATTGCTATTTTTCCTTTTTCCGACCATCATCTGTTCTGCTGTGCCGGGAGATTTAGATTAACTAGAAAGCAGGAAATGGTTGGATTTCTTGCTTTCTAGCTAGTCTTTAGATCTTTGGCTCAGCACAGCCAACCTCCCTTAGGACTGAAAGTTTGCTTGCAAGTAAATTTAGTGCAGACTCACAGCAAGCAAATTTGAGAGACTGAGCTAGCCGATGGCAGATTGATAGATCATTGAATGATTCTGTGAGCAACTCAATCTGCCTGATTTTGGGTAAAAGTTGCTCTTTTTTATAAAAAATTCAATATTTACATGCATGGTGTGTTGTGAGTTAATTTTGTGAGTTTGCTTGCGAGCAAATTTTATATGACAGACTGAGCTAGCCAATGGCAGATAGATAGTTCTCTGAATGAATCTGTGATTCTGTGAGCAACTCAATCTGCCTGCTTTGCCTGATTTTGGGTAAAAGTTGCTCTTTTTTAATAAAAAAAATCAATATTTATATAAATATTTATAATATTTACATACAAGCCATGCCCAGCCAGTCACATGACCACCAAACCACACCCACAAATTAGGCCATGCCCACAGAACCGCTTAGTGGTCCCTGGGATCTAAAATTATGAGTTTGGTGGTCCCTGAGGTCCAAAAGGTTGGCGACCCCTGCTCTAAATTACATTTGGAAATGAGGGACATTTTAAGGAAGAAATATTCAGAGATTCGTTTGCGAAAATATTTGTATATCTTCTTATTGTAAACTTGTCACTGAATCTTCAGTCTGGCTTCAACATTTTGGGGCCACTATTTTACACATTTCTCTGGCTGGTGAATTTTAGGGCTCAGTCAAAAGCCAATTATGTTCCATAAGGTTATAATTTGTGAACTGTTTCATTACCCTGCACTGAAGCAACACTGTTGCCATTATGGGTTCACTGATTTATTTTTACTGTTAGGCCATATGAAATTTTAATGTTTTTGTATGGGGGAAATTTTCATCTAGATAGCGCATGCATTAAAAATAATCTGTGACAGTTTATTCTGTGTATTCTTTGTGGCATTATCACTGATAATGACAACTTATATGCCTTTGATATATTTGAAGTATTTTGAAATGTCTCTCTTTTACTTGACTTGCTTTCTATCCAATGCCATTGCTGAATTCAGAAAATAAATATCTTGTTTTTTTAAAAAAAGCTATTCTCTTAGTGAGCTTGGCAGATAAATCAAAATATGAGCATCCAAAATGAGTAATTGTATATCTCCAAAAGAGAAAAATGAAACTTCAAAAGAGAAGAAAAATGTTGGCATGACATTTGCAACCATGGTTTTCTACAATATAGATAAATACTGGAAATAATGTTTATTATCAAAATACGAGAAAAATCACACCTGTTGATCTACTGACAGGTGATATGTAAATGTAATAAAGATGATAATATTTCATTATCTTATACTATCCATAGGCTTTGTTCTCACTTTCATGTATGGATTTCAACTGGACAATCCTGGAAGCAAAGGATAATGCCACATAAAAGCTAATTGCTCTCTAATTAGCATTTCAATTTAATGGGCTTTGCAAAGTAAGAGACATGATCATCACTCTAAGCCAAGGATGTCAAACTCACCACATCACATTGCCATCATGTGATGTTTCTTGATGTTTTCCCATTCGCAGAGCTGGGTTGCACCTGCACATGAGGCATCCGGCCTGCGGGCCACCAGTTTGACATCCCTGCAGTAAGCCAAACATTTACCAGTTGCTAAAATGATTGTTTCCAGAATGGCATAAGAAATGAAGGAAAATGAAAGACAGAACCAAATGGGCTTCATTGAGTTAATTAGGCACATTTCACACAGCAATTAAGAATTGCAGTGGAGTTAGATTTTGAAGGTATTTCCTCTCTAAATTAAATAATGTTTGAATCAGGGGTGGGATTCTACCTGATTGGATGGGATCTATAGAACTGGTAGTTTCGATTTTGTGCAGTTAGAAGAATTGGCACATTGTGCCACTAGCTGGCCCCTCACCTCCCCTCCCCTCCCCGCCCACTCCTTACCTGGCATGCATGCCATCCATCTTGCCTGCTGTTGTGCCTTCACCTAATTTTTGGTAAGTTGCTATTTTTCCTTCCCCCCCCCCCAATCATCAGCTGTTCTGACTATCAGCTGTGCCAAGATATTTAGATTAGCTAGAAAAGAGGAAATCATTGGATTTCTTGCTTTCTAGCTAATCTAAAAGCAGAGCTGAACCTTCCTGAGGACTGAAGCTTCTATTTTTCAATGCAGATTCAGGTAGCAGATTGTAGAAAGGTAGATCTCTGAGTGAATCTGTGATTCTGTGAGCAACTCAATCTACCTGCCTGCTTTTCTTGATTTTGGGTAAAAGTTGCTCTTTTTTTGTAAAAAAAAATCAATATTTACAATATTTACATACAAGCCAAGCCAAGCAAGTCACGTGACCACCAAGCCATGCCCAATCAGCAAACCATGCCCACCAAGTCACATGACCACCAAGCCACACCCACAAATTAGGCCATGCCCACAGAACCAGTTTTGAAATTTGAATCCCACCCCTGGTTTGAATATTTAAAAAATTGAAATAATTCCACATCTTAAAGGTGGACATCTAGTACCAGAGAAATACTGCCCAGAATTAGGTAACATAGGCAGTGTAGAAATCTTGTAAATAAAGAAATTCTTAGCAAAAGATACAGAAAGGTCCTTGGAGGTAGGTGTCATCAGGGCAGTGAAAAACTTCAAGGACATTAAAGATTGGTAAAAGAAACACAAAACAAAAAAATGTCTTGACTTGTGGAGATTGCACAGATTATTAATTTTCTTTTCATCATTCTCTTTGTATACCTTCAGGTATATCAATACATGCATGAAACCATAAATGTTAGTGGCTGCCCCGAATTCCGTGCCAGGGCTACTGCCAAGGTAAGACACTTGTAGTTTAAGGAGGTCTATTCTCCACATGGCCCAGTAATTGACTGTGCGCGTGTATTATTTCAGGTTTTCGTGTGTACACTATAAGAACATTTAGACATCAGTGGCAGCCCAGAGTCTAGAACCAGTGTGCTCCTTCCCAGGTAACAATCATACCGGCAAGTTCAACATTTGTGCTAATCCTGTAGTTTAAGAAAAGAGAATGCTGTATATGGCCAAGAGGCTTATCGGGCATGGGTGAGGGGATGGAGTGGATTGGAGTCACCTTCCAATCAAAGCTTCCACTTACTTGCAATTAAATACTGACCATTAGCACTTATGACTAATTTCTCTAATAGATTCTACTTATGTAGTAGTATGGCCAAAACTATAAAGCTGCCAGTTTCAGAAGTGCTTAGCATGTATTTCCTCAACAGAAAAGCAGCAGAAACTATATGCTATAAAGCAGTGGTGGCATTCAGCCGGTTTGCACTGGATCGGGCGAACCGGTAGCAAGAATTTGGCGTGGATCACCAAACTGGTAGTAAGTTCTGGCTGGCCACGCCCCAGACCCGGTCGCCCTCCTGCCCGATGCTCGCTTACCCGCCCGCCTGACATTCACCTAAGATATTTCTTTCTTTTTTTTCCCTCCCGACAATCAGCTGTGCTGGGATTCCCCTTGCTGAGGCCCAGGAAGGCAAAAAATGGAGGGAGGAGCTCAGTCCCCCCCCCTCCATTGTTTGCCTTCCAGAGCCCCAGAGGAGCCTTAGGGGAGCAAAAATGCTCCCCAGAGGCTCCTCTGAGGCTAGGAAGCTCCAAAAAATGGGTGGGGGCAACAAAAAAGCAAAAAATGCCACACCTACCCAGTCACATGGCCACACCCACCAAGACACGCCCACAGAACCGGTAGTAAAAAAATTTGAACCACCACTGCTATAAAGGTCCTTATAAATGAGTGTAAGCTCTCTCCATCAAAAGAAATACTATTCTATGAAATAAATCTGAAATTTAGTTTGCATTGCACAGAAATAAAAATTAGTAACAAAATAGGTATTTCTTCAAGAAAACAGTTCCCTTGTTTACTATTGATAAAACTTGAATGAATTTCAAATAGGTGTGTGGGGGAGGGGGTGGGAAATATAAAATGCAACATTCGTAACTTAATACATACTACTCCAGAACAACCATTATGTGCAAGCAGAATAATAAATGTTACTCTTTTTTTCACACTACAGCCAGCATCAGAATTATATTAATTTTAAATTGAGATAAGCTATGGAGGAAAAATACTGAAGCCATATAGTATACTTAACATTAAATATATTGATTAAGATATTTAAGTAATATTCTTTCATTTGCTTATTGGGTAGATTTCTTTTATTCTAGAGCAGGGCTGTCAAATTCCTGGCCCACCAGCCAGATATGTCACATGTTGGCCACACCCATGCCCGGTTTAGCAAAGGGGGAAAAAGTCCTGATATGTCGCGTGACGCTGCTGTGACAACACGAGTTTGACACCCCTGTTCTAGAGGGAATTGACCTAATATAAATACTACAGATATTAATTTATTTGAGTCTAGAAAGATGTTTTTAAATTGTTTAACTTCATATAATATAGTGAAGTTAAAAATTATCACATGGCATACTTAAAATTCTCAAGAAGGTCTTCATTCTCGTTTCTTATTCATATGGAACAGGAGGATTGTACGGCTAAGATTCAATATTACAGTATTTCCTGGTTATTTCTGGGCTGTCTGCATTGCATTTTCCTTACGCATTTATGTCTGGCATGCATGATGACAAATTTTGCATGTTAACATATCCTGTATATATAACTAAAGTGTACATTCATGCTATCAAAATCCATCCATTAAATGCGATCCTAATGAAATTTAGCTATCCCTTTCCTCTAGGACAGGGGTAGGGAAACTTGGCTCTTTTATCATTTATGGACTTCAACTCCCAGAATTCCTGAGTGAGTCATAAAAGATTCCCCATCCCTGGCCTACTGGTTTTTCAGTTGTGGGGGAAATCAATTTTTGACTTGAATGAGACTGTTTAATATACAAATGTAGGACATATTCAGCTCAATACAGAAATTTAAACTGAACCAATTTGACTTTCAAATCATCAGATTAAATTCTATTAATTATTCAGATTGGATCAGAGCCTATCTTCACACCCTACTGCCTAGTCTCATATAGTTCAGTACATATGCTCTCTCCTGTTTAAATCAATGAAAGAGTTAATTGAGTATACTCTGTTTTATGTTTCAATAAGTCAAATTGCTCAGAAATGTGGTGCACTCTGATAAAAAGTTGCTATTTTCACAATTTAAATTTGTTTTCGAAAATTGCACTCCCCTCCCTAAAGTTAAATTAAATTAAAACCCCTATTCAGGTTGCGCTTCTACTGATCCTTTTAGCTACTGTTAAAATTTAAGAAACCTTTAACATTATGTTGACTATATGTACAAAGCTTTCATATTTTAAAAGATAATTAAACTTTATGATACTGCTGCATGTTCCACTGCAATATAAAGGACTCTAGTATGCATATGCCTCTTCAGCCTTAAGAATTGCTTTGATTTGCATCTCATTATTCTGCTTAACCAAGTATTCAATAAAAAGTTATTTTTAATTCAGAACGAAGAAAAGCATCTTTTGAAATCTGCTTACATTGGAAGCAAATGTGTTCAAAATAGCCAATAAGAATTAGAATACATATATACATACTAATCCTACCATTCCCTTTTCAGAAAAGGAAATTTATGTTGCAAGTATTAGTGTCTAGAGTGAATTGGGGATCACCTGCTAGAGAACATAGAATTATTTCCATTTCCCTGTAAAAGCTACTTACAGGTAAAAATCTAAAAACATCTAATGTTTACTCCTGAATTTCCCTTTCAAAAAATTCTTCCAAAAGTCCCACTGAGCCTATTGTACATGGAACTGAGACCTTGAGATTTAAGCATTCCGATCCTCAAAATAACACCACTGGGATATAACTGTATGCAGATGTCTTGGGTACAGCAATATTACATTTTATTAAAAAAAATTTAATGAAGCAATTTAAAAAACAAATTTTAAAGCATCATTCTTATGAATACATATTTGAAACAAATGAGAAGAAGTCCTCCTAACTGTATTCATAATATGTTTAAAAAATGCACTTTCCCCCCCCTAGGCTACAGTTGCTGCATTTGCAGCTAGTGAAGGGCATTCTCACCCCCGAGTGGTAGAACTGCCAAAGACGGATGAAGGCCTTGGCTTTAACGTAATGGGAGGAAAAGAACAAAATTCTCCTATTTATATTTCTCGCATAATTCCTGGAGGAGTAGCTGAGAAGCATGGAGGACTCAAACGGGGAGACCAGCTGCTTTCTGTTAATGGAGTGGTAGGTGAACACACGCCGATTTTATTAATTCTGCTTATTAAACTGCTTCGGACTGGTGGGGGACGGAATCTGGATGACTACTGCAGTATTTTTGCTGTCTTCTAGTACTATCCAGAATTTTGTAACCCAGATCTGGCAGTTCTAGTGTGCATACAAAAGAATAAATGGGTACAAATGTGTTGCTTAAAAGTAACCACTTTCAGAAACCTTTGGAGAATTTTCTAGTCTCCCCTTGACATCTTAGTTTGCAAGTGGCTATTATTCAACAAGAAATCCAGAGGGAGGTTCCACCATGCAATCGCCCAAGTAGCGTATATTAGTACAGGTGAAACTCAAAAAATTAGAATATCGTGCAAAAGTTTGTTTATTTCAGTAATGCAACTTAAAAGGTGAAACTAATATATGAGATAGACTCATTACATGCAAAGCAAGACAGTTCAAGCCGTGATGTGTCATAATTGTGATGATTATGGCTTACAGCTCATGAAAACCCCAAATCCACAATCTCAGAAAATTAGAATATTACATGCAATCAATAAAACAAGGAGTATAGAACAATATCAGACCTCTGAAAAGTATAAGCATGCAGATGTACTCAGTACTTGGTTTGGGCCCCTTTTGCAGCAATTATTGCCTCAATGTGGCGTGGCATGGAAGCTATCAGCCTGTGACACTGCTGAAGTGTTATGGAAGACCAGGATGCTTCAGTAGCGGCCTTCAGCTGTTCTTCATGGTTCGGTCTCATGTCTCTCATCTTTCTCTTGGCAATGCCCCATAGATTCTCTATGGGGTTCAGGTCAGGTGAGTTTGCTGGCCAATCAAGCACAGTAATCCCACGGTCATTGAACCAAGTTTTGGTGCTTTTGGCAGTGTGGGCAGGTGCAAGTCCTGCTGGAAAATGAAGTCAGCATCCCCATAAAGCTCGTCTGCGGAAGGAAGCATGAAGTGCTCCAAAATCTCCTGGTAGATGGCTGCGTTGACCCTGGACGTAATGAAGCACAGCGGACCAACACCAGCAGATGACATGGGTCCCCAAATCAACACAGACTGTGGAAACTTCTCACTGGACTTCAAGCATCTTGCAGTGTGAGCCTCTCCATTCTTCCTCCAGACTCTGGGTCCTTGGTTTCCAAATGAGATGCAAAAGTTGCTTTCATCAGAAAAGAGGACTGTAGACCACTGAGCGACAGACCAGTTCTTTTTTTCTTTAGCCCAGGTAAGGTGCTTCTGATGTTTGTTGTTCAGGAGTGGCTTGACAAGAGAAATACGACATTGGAAGCCCATGTCCAGGATCCATCTGTGTGTGGTGGCTCTTGATGCACTGACTTCAGCCTCAGTCCACTCCTTGTGAAAGTCCCCAACACTTTTGAATGGCCTTTTACTGACAACCTTCTCCAGGCTGCGGTCATCCCTGCTGCTCATGTACCTTTTTCTTCCACACTTTTCCCTTCCACATAACTTTCTATTAGTGTGCTTTGATATAGCACTTTGGGAACATCCAACTTCTTTTGCAATTACCTTTTGAGGCTTTCCCTCCTTATGGAGGATGTCAGTGATGATGTCAGGTCACCAGTCTTTCCCATGATTGTGCTTCCTACTGAACCAGACTGAGAGACCATTTAAAGGCTCAGGAACCCTTTGCAGGTCTTATGGCTTAATTAGCTGATTAGAGTGGGACACTTTGAGCCTAGAATATTGAACCTTTTCACAATATTCTAATTTTCTGAGATTGTGAATTTGGGGTTTTCATGAGCTGTAAGCCATAATCATCTCAACTATGACAAATCACGGCTTGAACTATCTTGTTTTGCATGTAATGAGTCTATCTCATATATTAGTTTCACCTTTTAAGTTGCATTACTGAAATAAATGAACTTTTGCACAATATTCTAATTTTTCGAGTTTCACCTGTATATGATTTTATTTATAGTTTAGTAGTTGAAATGAGTTTTTATTTCCAATACAGAAGGTATCATAGCAAAATGAAGACTGTCATCCTCTTTATCCATTGTACATAAGAAAAATGTTTTGCATACAGAAAGTGAAGCATGGCTATTGGCCATGTTATTAATGTTAAAAGCCTCCATCCCCTACCTTTTTCACAATAATGCTTTGATTATTGAACCAGCAAAGTCTGTCCACAAAGATTTTGCAAGTACTGGAATTCAAATGGCCTTAGTCTAACCCAGGCTCAGTTCATTGATGTTGAGAGATAGGAAGCATCAAACTTAAAAACTTCGATCGTGACAAGTCCCTAATTATACAAATGCTTGATGTTAGCTTCAGATGCACATATTGATTTATTTATACATGGAGCTTTTGTATCTATATTCCTATACCAATGCTTCGAACTTTTACATATTGCAAATTGACAACTGAACTGCCAAACTGACAAAGAAACACAGATGATGCTCAAAGATGCACATGGTGGTTTATGCCTATCCCACAGTGAACATGTTCTTGGTGCCGCTGCAAAGCATTGTCATTTTGCACCTTTTCTATGGCGCTTGTCCTATGGAATAGTGTCTCCTCTGAAATATGGATAGCCCAGACTCTGCTGGCCTTTTGGAAAGCTGGCTCCTCTCCAAGCATTAAAGTTAGGTTGTTAATGGGGGAGCTTTGGCAGGAGTGTGTGGTGTTTAATTTGGGGTTATGATAGTTCATGTGATTAGGACACTGAATCAAAAGACCACTAAGAGGTTGACAGCTTCAAAGTTTGAAACCCGGGAGTGAGCCACGTGACAGAATGAACTGCCATCAATTTGCCTTAGCTCCTGTCCACCTAGCAGTTCGAAAGCATGCAAATGCAAGTAGATAAATAGGTACCACGTTGGAGGGAAAATAATAGGCACATGAAAGGAGCCTCCTTGGACATCGTTGTGGCAACAGTGACATCACCAGCTAATTCTTTCAACCTGGAAGCCCCTTAGTAGGTGCTTCCAACACAGATATAGATGTAGTAGTAGAAGTGTTTAATGGTTGTGGTTTTACTGAGCTTCACTGCTGTTTTGGCTGATTTTTTCTTCCTGTAATGAAATTCTTTGTTATTATTTTGTTTGTAACTTAGATTTTATTGGCTAGAGGAGGAGCCATATAAGTAGGATAAATCAATATATCATGAATGAAGGTGAATATACATGTCCCAGGATAATGTTGCAGGATCCAGTCTGTACTTGGAAGGTGAGGGATTGATAGCACAAGCAAACAACCAACAACTTAATTGCCAGCTATCAGACTGAATCCTGCAAATAAATATATCACACATTTTTTCTACTTGGAGGATTTTGATGTTGCAGTTCCAGCTCGGCCGATTTTGCCTTTCTTTTTCCTTTCCCATTAAGAAAAGCAATAGCAATAACAATAGCCCTTAGACTTACATACTGTACCACTTCACAGTGCTTTACAGCCCTCTCTAAATGGTTTTCAGTGTCAGTATATTGCCCCCAATAATGTGGATTCTCATTTACCAACTTCGGAAGGATGGAAGGCTGAGTCAACCTTGAGCCAGTAAGATTCAAACTGCCAAACTACTGGCAGCCGGCAGTCAGCAGAATTAACCTGCAGTACTGCATCCAAACTACTGCACCACTGAGGCTCTTAGCAACAGAATTATATAAATACACCTTACAGTAGCTACTTCCTTAGGGTCTGAAATGTTAGAGAGGGGGACAGGCTTAACTACAGATTCCAAAACTATAGTTGGGGAGGCCTAGTGGGACCAGGTTCACCCATGGTATAGTTTTTTTCTCTCTTACTCATAGTTCTAAAGCTGAAAGCCTCTTGCTTTTTGCTATTTTTAAACATTCCACAACCAGAGTGTGGAAGGAGAACATCATGAGAAAGCAGTGGAACTTCTGAAGGCTGCTAAAGACAGTGTGAAGTTGGTGGTGCGTTACACTCCCAAAGTTTTAGATGAGATGGAAGCTCGCTTTGAAAAACTGAGGACAGCTCGGCGCAGACAACAGCAACAGTTGTTAATTCAGCAGCAACAGCAGCAGCAAAATGCACAGCAGAATCATATGTCATAGGTGCGTGTTTATCTGCCTTATTTTCAACTGGTTTTTTCTTTAATTGAATTACTAGATGTTCAGCTGCCTCACTTACAGACACACATAATCCCCCATTTCCCAATGTCATAATTAATAAATAATTCAGTGACTAAAACATCTGTTTTTGATTTAATTGTTTATTCTGTTGTGTATAATAGGGGTCCCCAAACCCCAGTCCGTAGCCCATTGGGAACCAGTCCGCACAAGTGGCAGGTGAGCACAGGAAGCTCCATTTGCACAAGTGGCATGCGCATGCAAAAAAACATCCCCTCTGTTGTAAGGGGGAGTGGAGCAAATAATGCCATGTGTACTATGACATTATTGTGAAAATGATGCAAATCATGTTATTTGTGTCCATTCAGTGATGCAGCTCATGCCAATTATATAATTCATGTTATTTGTTCAATGATTTCATAATATCCATCTTGATAGGAAAGCTTATACTAGCTGCCTATACCAGGGGTGTCAAACTCAAGGCCCAGGGGCCAGATCCAGCCCATGGGGTACTTAGATCTCACCCATGGGGCCACTCTGGAAACAGTGAAGGACCGGCCCATGGTGCCATTGACAGCGAAAAGCCTGTTTTCACTGGCAAAGCACTTGGGCCACCACAGGCACCTCCAACACAAGTGATGTCAAGCTGGCCACGCCCACCCTGATCATACACACACCGGCCCCTGAGATAAAACACAACCCTGATGCAACACTCAATGAAATCGAGTTTGATACATCTGGCCTATACAGTCTAAATCCAGGCATTATAGTGCTTTAAAAAAATATAATTGTTTCTAATATTAAGCTGATACTGCTAATTTTTATGCATATCTATTTTGCTTTTAGATTCACAATTACAACTATAATTATAAGAGCTTTTTAAAATTAAACCACGATTTTCAATTACATGTAATCCCCATTTTAATTCCACCTTCATTATTTTTATAAGCAACTCAAGGCAGCAAACAAATAATATTTCTTCCTTCTCCTATTTTCACCACAACCACAATCCTGTTAGGTAAATTGGTCTGAGAGAGAGTGATTGGCCCAAAATCAGCCAGCTGGCTTTTATGCCTAACCTGGGACTGGAACTGTTAGCTTCTAGGCGGATGCCTTAATCATTAGACCAAACTATATGATATATTAAAATTAATAATAAAAAAAGAATTGCTCTAATTACTACTGCAGTACTGCCAGATGTTTTGTAAAGTTAGCCAATACATGCATTTAAAAATAATAATAATGAGAAATTAAAGCAATTGAGAATGTCAGTCCATTTATGCTTTTGACGGTTTATATACTTTTGTTGTTTAATTATAGATGGCTATCAAGAAAGACTTTCTAAACCAAGAATGTAACAACTTAATAGCAAAGCTCTGCTTTGTATTCCAACTTTACAATAAAGAGCAACAGCAACTGTGTTCACCAGCAAATTGTGCAAAATTACAATAAGAACAGTTTGGGAAGTCAGCAGCATAATAAACTCTTCATGTGATTTTTCCCAGAATTGAAGTCCTAGGATGAAAAAGGTTTATTTGAGTCTTTTGTATGGTAAAGTTCTCATGATGACAACTTGTTAACAAAATTCAAGAATATTCTGAGAAATCACATTCATTATGTATGTGTGTTTGGCCCAATTCTGTATCCTTTGCAATGAAACTCAAATGAGAATTTGCCAAAAAAGTGTAAGATGGGCAAATGGATTCCATATCTGCATGTTATTATCTTGCATAATAGTTTCCTTCACAATCATATAGAGTTGTTGCATCCAAATTATCATAATTTTCCATTTTTCCTTCTCCATAATTTTCTTTTTCCTAAAGTGACAATTGTTTGTTGATTAGTCAATTGAACTGATGAGGTGTGGAATGGAAAGGAGATTATTAATTACTTGTAGAGTGATTACTTATCAACTCGTGGGTGGTAGGTGCTATCCTAAAGTAATAATCCATATTCCCTCTTACATAAGAATATGTAAGGGAGAAATGGTGATAGTAAGAAGGAATTATGATGTTTCTGCTGCAGTGCAAACTATGTCACAAGTTTAAACTGTTTGAAACATATGTGATTTCATACATGTGTATGATTCTGACCTGAAACCTACATATTTCAAACAGTTTAAACTTGTGGTATAGTTTGAACTGAAGCAGAAACATCATCATTTCCAGTCAGAAGACTAAAGACAATTCCAAATTGTCTTTAGTCTTCTGACTGGAAATTCTGGAAATTTCAGTTATAATACACTTGGTGAGTGTTTGATTGGAGATAACTGCTATACTTTTGAGACAATCCTACAGAACTCAAGAAGACTTAGTTTTGAATAAATACACATAGTAGGCCAGGAGTGGTGCAGTGGCCTAGAGGTAGAGCTCTCGCCTCACAATCAATAGGCTGTGAATTCAGTCCTTGGTAGAGGCAGATATTTCTCTCTGCCAATGAGAATATATCTGCTGAACAAAACTCTGCATTGGCAACAGGAAGAGCATCTGGCCATTAAACACTCTGCTAGCTCCATTCAGTTGCCCAGATTCCACCCCGCAGGGGATTATAGGGTCATTAAAAGATGATGATGATGGTGATGATGATGACAACGTAGTAGGCCAGGCCACGTAATCACACTTAGCCTTAAGGTAAGATTTTTTTTTTGTCACAGAAATGAATGTATTCATCATCGAGGCACTATGCATCACTTCTGGATTTCCGGCATGCCCATTACCAGAAAGAGGCTTGAGGGGTAATCTTTCCAGCTAATAAATGGGCCATGGTGAATTTGAGATGCAAGACAAAGTGAAGCTATGCGGTGGCCTAAATCCACTTCTTTATAAGTGGGTTGTGTCCCCTTCGCTTCAAAGGGTTGCTTCAAGCTTATGACACTAGCAAAGTTAATCAGCCTTTTCACAATTGGATAACCTCACCCTGTGGTATTAGAGTGCAAGTCATATGCAAAAGTTATGCAGATGTAATCAATTAATTAATCAAGTCATCAAGTAAAATGTCTTTGGTTTGATGGAGTCCTTATTTGTATGCCATTCCATTTGTAGATAAAATTCTTATTCCTGGAGAATAATACCAGGAACAAGTTTAATTCTATCTTTTATGACAGTAAAATTAGAAAACTGTATTTTTGAACATAGGCATTCCTATTGTATCTATCATAGTTATATCACTGAATCTAAACTAATTATACAGTATATTGATAAGATATATTACGAGAGATACTGTTATCTAATATATATGCATATGTTGTCAGAATATATTTGTTTCAGATGTAGGTTCTATACTTAGTATATTGCAAACATTTTTGAGATGATGTTGAAATAACTAATGGTATCTCACAATTTTATCTATTTTTGCAATATATTTATTTCTGATGTTGTTAGATTTAGTACTAAAACATATAGCAGAAACTTCTTTTTGTGTAACAATGCAGCTTTCCCAATGTGGTATGCTTTAGATGTGTTTGCATTACAAGTCCCAAAATTTCTGGCTAATATGGCTACAGGTCCTTTGGAATTCTGGAAGAGACAATCTTAGCTTTTCTAGAAGGCACCACCTTGTGTGACTTAGCATACAGGACTCGTGTGCATATTACAGCTGGATAATTGATTTAAACAAAGCTCTATTATTATTAACTAATTTTATTGTCAAAGTGAGAAGCTATGTGCACCAAAGAGGCACAAATGTTTGTGATGTAATGTTAACTTTAGTTAAGTAAATGAGTTCAATATCTGACTCCATTCATAGGTATACAATTCAATTATTTACGTTATGCATACTGTCTCTGACTTAGTTGGATATGTAGCAATACATTTTTAGCAACAATATTAAAATCATTTGCACGAAGTCAGTTGGATTAAATCATTTCAATACCCTCTATCAGGGGTGGGTTTCTACCGGTTCTGTCCACCTCTGTAGAACCAGTAGCTCTGAAGAGCAGCAGACATAGAACCAGTTCTATGTCTGCTGATGTTTTTGCCCATCTGCCACCTGGGCTCTTACCTGATCTTTATTTCCTGATTTTTCAACTTCAGCTGCCAAACGAGGCACAGCTGCAGTTTAAAAAGCAGGAAAAGAGGGTTGTTTCAAAGGCTACTTCTCTGCACGCAGCGTGCTGATGACGATTTTCAGGCGTGCACTCGCAGCTTACAGGGAAGCACATCATAAATCACCGAACATTGTAAACCCCAAACCGGTAGTTAACCCTGTCGTATCCCACCCCTGCCCTCTATACATTGTCAGCTATCCCTATTTCCTTTTCTAAGGAAAAAAAATTCTGTTGCAATGTTACAAGAATCCCTGTTCTACCCAGCAGAGCAAAACAAATGAAGTCACAGGAATTGAAAAGTCCTAATAAATAATGAAGAAAGTTAGGAAACCATAGCCCAACAATTCTAGAGAAGATTACACAGAACATAGAAGTGACATTCAAATACTTTTGCACATTTTTCTTGTTCTTGCCTTATGTCATAGACTCCTGTTCGGTCTGGGAAGGCCAATTTCTATGTGCTCTTGTTTTTGTAGGGACAGACTTGGTGTCATATTATTTACTGACTGTGTGAGAACTAATTCTTAATACCAATAACATGCAGGACAATGTTTTTATTGTTGCCCCAGGAACTAATAACACTATATTTGTCAGTTTGTGAGAATAAAATGTATCTTTCAAATCCTTCCCATCCCTTTGTTGACTGAAAATCAATACCTGATGTTTGATTTGAACCTTTCCTCTTAGAACTAAGTCAATCAGTAGTTCAGATGAAAATTCAGAACATCGGGTTCTCTTTCTCAAGATTAGGCCATTCTGTACTGAGAATAAGAGAGGATAGAAATTGAACATGCATAGTGAGACCACTTTAAATCAAAAATTCAACAACAAAAATCCTACCTATCTCAAATATACTGCATGCCCCAAGTAGATTCTAGTATCATATCACATTTGCTACACAATAAGGAATGTGGAAGGTGTTCAAGGGAATTTCAACTGAACCGTTGCTCTGTTGTCCTTGTATGTACAGATCTCTGAACTATACAGCATCTAGATAATGGTTGAAGCTTTAAAAATTATAAAAAACTAGTAAGAGGCTGTCTCTGTTAACTTGCAGAAAAGCTCAAGAAATGCTTCAGACAAATGCTTATCTGTTCGCCCAACCACCTGGTGTTTGGAACATAGTGCCTAAGTATATAAAAGATGCTTGACCTCTATAACCACATGCTAATCCAGTTTAACTTAGGATATTAGGGGATCCAATATATATTTATTAGGGTTTATAGAAGAAGAATTGACTAAAAAGCACAGTGTCTTAAAGTTAGATTCTGTTTATTGATTATATTATAAAAGTAGAGAAAAATGGCTTGATGATAAAGTGTTTTATAGATTAAATAAGGGGCGATAACAAAAAAAATTAATTACAATGGTATAAGAGAATAAGAAATGGTTAATGGATCCATGAAGAAAATGAAGAGCGTCAATTGACTATATGTTTTAGTTGTATATTTATAGGTTTATGTTTTTGTATGTTTATGTAATAGGCTTTTTAAAATCAAAATATATACCTATAAGTTCAAAAGCATTAAATGTCCTGTGGAAAGACTACTAAAAATATCATTTTCCTAACATAATTTCTAAAAGTTGATGCTGGGATTTTCATAACTATAAAATGCCAGAAATAATTGAAGTTATGGTAAGCTAATATTGAGGTTTTAAGATTGGGATTTCCTATTCCTTTATATGAAGACAGTCAAAGTTCATTCACCCATTTTTGTACATAATCTGTGAAATGTATATTCAAATACAAAATCCTATTACTAATAAGATGTATTAGCTTTATGAAAATCTAACACAAAATACATAATTGTGTAAAATTATATATTATTACAATGGTGTTTGAACAACGAAGCTATATTTTCCAGCCTTAAATATGTAATGTATTTTGGATTTACTTATTAACTGTGTTGTACCTCATGAAATATTTAACATTTGAACTATACTGGATTAGTCAAATTGTAGGTGTATGCAATGCAACTGTTGAAAGCAGATTTCCCTACCATAGTCTTTAGCACTGCCCTTGTATTACCAACTTTAAATGTTACATAGTGAGTTGGGGAACCTTGCTAACTTGAATAGAGTTTCATTCTCAAAAGAGGTTTCTATCCTGGTTCATTTTCTCTCTCTCTTCATCTTAGCCTCGCCAATTCAGTCTTGGGTTGAATTCATACACTGTGGCTTCTCTGATTAAAGTATAGCAACATGATTTGTGAACCCTATGATATTATTTTCTGTTGTCTGAATCAAATCACTATGGCAGGTGTGTCAAACTCGATTTCATTGAGGGTCACATCAGTGTTGTGTTTGACCTCGGGGGGGTGGAGTGGTTGTGGCCTGGGTGGGTGTGACCAGCTCAACGTCACTCATGTTGGGGGTGCACAAGTGCTCTGATAGAGAAAGCGGGCTCCTGAGCTCCGTTTTTGGCTGTGATTGTCTCCTGCAACCCTCTGCCAGTTAAAA